CTGGCAGATAAGTAAAGAGGTCAGTGTGAGAAAAGAGGCGTCTTTCCAAGGTGGACAGATTGTCCAAGTGGGCAGTGCAGGGAAGCCTGGGCCAGCCAAGAGGAAATGAGGCCAGTTGGGCCCGGAGGGGCTGTCGTGGGTGCCTTGGGGCCAGGATGGTCCGAGGGTAGCAGGTGGGGACGGCTCCATCCTCGGCCCGCAAGGAGGCCGTGAGGGCAAAGGCTGCAGTTCTTGAGGCTGGTGGACAGCTTTAGTCAGACCTTGCTGACTGCCTGGGCCTCCAGAAAGCAGCCCTCTGGATGTTGGGATCTGAGGTGGTCCTGCCAGCAGAAAACAGTGGCTGTTCCTTCCATAGCTCCCGGGCCCCCGGACCCATGAGTGTTGTTTCTGCCTTAGAGAGTCAGTGGGAGAAGTGGTGGCCAGTGATTGTTACCAGTGTCGCGTCTAGACCAAGGGTGCATGCGTCCCTGCCTCTGCACGTGAAGGGCTTGGGCCCAGGGTTGCTGTGCTCCGTTGACCTGGGTTGCGAGTCTCTCAAGGGGACAGCCCCCCTCCTCCCCCAGCCGTGTGGCCTGGACTTCTGCTCTGTGTGGAGCACGGCAGAGTCCCACGGAGGCAGGGGGGCAGCTGCTGGCCTGTTCCTGAGCAGATGCCTTTAGTACTTTACTCAGCCATTCCCTATCTTGCCCTGACGGATCTCCTGGTGGCTGGGTGCCTATAAGGGACATGGCCCCCTGTTGTCTGCCTGTGGAGGGTCGTTGGGGCCGTGTGTCCAGGTGGGGAATGGTTTCAGAAGTTTGGGTTCTGGTGCCAACTTCATGGAGGAGGGTGGGGAAGAAAGGGCCTCTGGCCTGACAAGTAGGGACGGGGTCCTATGCGCCCCTGTGGGAGGACAGTGAAGACTCTGGTTTGAGAACTGTGTGGATCCAGAAGCTGATCTGAAGCTGGGAAGGGGTTGGGGAGGTCTGGACTGGAGCTGGGATTTGAGAAGAGCAAATGTTTACTAGGTGTTTGACGTGTGCTGGGCCCTGTGTTGGGAGCTGGGTTGCAGAGGCCGGCTCTCTGCCTAGAGAGGAACAGGCACGCACAGCAGTTACAGCAGATATGCTGGCGCGCGGCTGTCATGATGTGAGTCCCGGGGGGGCCCCCGGGGTTGCCCTGAAGGAGTTGGAGAGGAGCCGTGAAGGAAGCTGGGGGTCTGCTATGCAGTTGGTTAGCTGATGGGGCCGGGGGCCGGGCCTGCTGTTGCAGATCTCCGTGTGCTGGCATCTCGCATGCTCCTAGCAGCGTCTGGACGTGTGGCATAGTTTGAAGCACTTGTATAGATGAGAACTCACTTACTCATCCCGGCAGGTCTAAGAGGTGGAGGCTGTTGTTAGTTCATCTCGAGGAGGGCAGTGGGCTGCAGAGTCTGCTATACCTGTCATGCTTCAGGGCCTCTGAGTGAGTGAACTCAAGTGTGTGCACTGAGAGATGGGGGGGCTTTACTGGGGAGCGTGAGGCCGGTCAGGTGGCTGTGAGAGCAAGTGGAGGAACTTTCCAGTTTGCTGCAGCGTTGCAGGAGACTGGGTCGTATTGTCTCGATTCTTCAGGTCGTTTAGGGTTAGGGTGAAGGCCCAGGCAGAGCAGAGTGAGAGGTGGAGAGGGCTAGGGTGGTCTGAGAATCCCGAAATGGGAGAGTGTAAGGAGTGACCTGGAGAAGGAGTTGTAGGCCTCCGGACAATTGCAGGGCTCCTAGACCAGGGTGGCTCTGGGGTTTGTCACCTGAAAGAGTCAAAAGGGACCTAAGTAGATGGGATCCTTTCATGGGTAGGCAGAGGGAGAGAGGCCTGTGGGGTCTGCCAGCTGGCAAGGCGTGGGAGTGACCTCTGTCCTCATCTGAAGACCAGCCACCAGCTGCTCTGATCTGGGACCCAAGTGCTGAGTTCTGCCGGAGGCCAGAGGGCAGCTCAGGAATGGGAGTCTGCTTCTAACAGGCCCAGCTTTCTTTCCAAAGACAGATCTGTTTCTGAGACTGGAGATTGGGACAGAGAAGGACTTACAGGCCAAAAAGGGGCCACTGCTGGGGGCCAGGCTGATGCCCAGGGTCATCAGAGAGTGTACCTCCCAGGCACCTGTCTGGGGCAGAAGGGGTAAAAGGAGCAGTTGCAGGCAGAGAGCTGAGAGCTGAGGTGAAGCCCTGTGTGCTGAGAGGGTCTGTAGGGCACCTGGAAAGCTCTGGCCAGCTCCTCCCTCCCCTCCCCTTCCTCCTTCCCTCCTCTCCTTCCATCCCTCCTTCCCTGTCTTTCCAGTACTTGGGGGGTCATGCTGTGTGTTTTCACTTGAGCTGGCTTTTACATGTCTGATTAATAAAACTGGAAGATGAATTTTTGTTATGTAATTAGGATAATTTGTTTGACAAAATCTAAAAAATGGAGGTTAATGAACTGTGCAGTTTGAGGGGGTCCTTCTGCAGGCAGGTACCATGAACGTTCCAACATTTTCAAACGTTGGGTCAATGTGAAGAAGGGTGTGATGCAGGCAAGAAGGGGTCTGATGCTCCCCCTCCACCAGCAGTGATGAGACTTGGCCTGCTCTGGCCTTGGAAACGGCAGAATGGTGTGTGCAGCCACATTACAGAGGGTCTTAGGACAGGCAGTGTGTGGGAAGAGGAGAGAAGGGAGCAGATGAGCTACTGGGTGGGTTAGGGTTAGGGTGACAGGTTACAAGCCATCAGAACCTAGAGGACCCTTTGAGGTAAATTTTTCTGCTCTACAAGGAGAGGCTTCAAAGGGGTCTGTTGACTTACTGGGAATCGTACTAGTGGCAGGATCCTGCAATTTGGACCAGTACTTTTCCTGACACCTGTGTCTTCTTATATTAACAGGAATTCTTTCTTTGTTCTATCCAGCCACTGTTCCATCTATTCTTATATTCATTTATCCCTTGACTCACTATCCTTTCTTGCCATCCGTCTACTCTTCTGTCAACCCACCCAGCCAACCCCTCCGTGCATCCATTCATCTACCCACCCACATACGCACCCACCCAACCATCTATCCATCTATCGATCAATACATCGATCAATCCACCAATCCAGCTATCCCCTCTCTGTCGACCCACCCTGCCCACCTATCCATCCGTTTACTTATCCACTACCGTTTGTTCCATCCATTCTCCCTGCACCAGCCCATTCTCTTTTCTCTCCATCCACTTAAATATCTATTTACCTTTGATCTGATCTATCCTTCTGCTTCTCTCTTGTTCCATCTATCCATCCATGTACTTACTCAGCCAGTTGTCCACCCATCTATTCTTCCAGTTAGCACTTGCATGACCTGTTATATGCCAGCTGCTGTGCTAGGTGCTGGGATCACAGAAATAAATAAGAGGTGGTCCTTACCTATGAGGAGCTCACAATCAATTGTAGCTTCCCTCTCTGATCTCATTTCCTCTCTCTCTCTCACTCACTCACTCACTCACTCACTCTCACTCCCTCTGCTCCAGCTGTATGGCTGCTCACTGTCCCTTGAACACCCAAACCCAGCCCTGACATGTGGGTTTTGCCCTGCGTGCCCCTGCTCCCTGGAAGCCCTTTGCCCACAGAGTCTTCAGGCTGCTCCCTAATGTTCTGTGCCTCCCAACTATCCTTTCCTGATGAGCCATCATGTGACCACCCTAGAATTGCAGACTTTCTCTGTACCCCCACTTTGCTCCCTTGTCTCCTAACATTTGCCAGCAGTTGACATGTTATGCATGCACCTGTTTCCTGTCTCTCTGTTCTCTCTCTTCCAATAGATTGTAAACTCCACAGGGTAGAGGCTTTGTTCTGTTCCCTACTATATTCTCAGAGCCTAAAACAAACAGTGCTTGGTACACAGTTGGAGCTCAATAAATACTTGTTGAATGAATGAATTAATCTTGAGAAATTCTAGAATGGTAGGGAATGGGAGAGGAGCTGTGGATGAAACGTGAGGTGGTGGTGGAGCCACGTTGGGAGTCCTGCAGGGTCCTGGAGAGCTGGAAGCCAGGAGGGCAGGAATGGGGGCTAGAGTGTAAGAGAATCTTAACTTACAGGCAGCTGGAGAAGAAAGCCTGGAGCACAGGGGCTGTGGCTGCAGATGTGGACTGGGGTCTGCACGCTTGCAGGAAATCAGCAAGGCCACGGCCATGGGCGGAGTAGCAGGTGGACAGCCGGCTAGCCCTGCAACAGCTGTGAGGGACTTAGAGATCAAGAGTACAGATGGGGGCAGGAATCTGTGGGATGCAGTGACATCAGCCCCACACCTGGACCTCCTGTGCACTCAGAGGCAGGCTCTGGAGGAAGGGACCTGGGAGACTGAGCATCGGTGGGCTCTCGTGAGAGTCTCAGTGAGGACACAACGCCACCTCCATGCCAGTGCGCGTTGCCTGCAGCATGACCCTTGCACGTGACCACAGTCATATGCACACAGGCCTATATGAGCACGGCACTTACACGTGACTGCAAGTTACGCACACACCTAGGCCTACACATGTACACAGCCTCTTTGCTCCTGGCTTTGGGGCTTGCTGACTCTTTCTGAAGATGGCCCGGCCTTGCCCCTGGCTGTGTGCAGCCACTCCGTAGAGAGATGGGCCAAAGCTCCTACCCTATTCTGGATCCTGACCCCTGGAAGCCAGGATTTCCAACATGGTCCCCTCAGCCTTCTTACCTTAGGACCTTTGGGCCCCTCACTTCCACGTGGGTACAACCAGGCCAGGGGTGTGTGTGTTGGCAGAGGCTGGTGACCAGCATGGTTGAGGGGCAGTTCAGGTCGGTTGGAGGATGTGGCCCTCCATCAGCTCCTGAAACTCCCCTCAGAAACCCGGGAAGACCGGACGAAGCGCCTTTTCCGTCACTACACAGTGGGCTCCTATGACAGTCTCACTTCACACAGGTACAGGTGGGGGCCAGTGGGCGGGTGGGCAAGGGTAGGCATGCATGCGGCTGGGATATCAGGCGTGGAGGGAGGACCAGAGCTAGTTGAGGAGGCCTGTGGATGAAGGGGTCAGAGGAGGCGAGGTGGTCCCCAGCCCACCTCTGTCTTCTGCCTTCCTCCGTCAGCGCAAGGGTGACTTCTGGGGTGGGCCATGCCCGTGGGATCCTGTTTGGGGCATGTGTGGGGTCAGCCTGGCCAGCTGTACTCTCTGGCAGGGCTCTCCTCACCCCTCCCTGCTTTCCTCCACCAGCGATTACGTCATTGACGACAAGGTGGCTGTCCTACAGAAACGGGACCATGAGGGCTTTGGTTTTGTGCTCCGGGGGGCCAAAGGTAAGGAAGGGTAGACAGCACCGAGAGTGGGTGTGGGGCTGGCCGCCAGACTGCCAGCATGTGTCTTGTCTCTGCTCCTCCTCTCTGCTCTCCTCCCTGCCTCACCCCTGCCCCATCCTCTGCCCCTGACTCCCCCACTGCCTCCCTCGCTGCTAGTTCGGCTCCTGTCCCCCTGCCTTGCTTCTCTGCTCTGACTCTGTATCCTTGGTTTGGAATATCTCAGTACGAGGCAATCCCTTCCCCCTGTTGATTTCCAAGATCTCTGCTGGAGCATGTCTAAGGGAGGGGAGTCCTTTCTGGTGGGGCCGAGGGGGGCAGTTTCTTCCCTGGGTGGCACTGCCTGCTGCCCCCCAGCCCCAGGACACCCTGACATGCTGCCTCAGTTGTCCTTTGTTCGGCGTGCGGAGCCACTTGTGGGAGGTTGCTATGTGGCAGCTGCCTCCACCTGGACCACGCAGGTGAAGCACCTTCCTAACTGCCCTCCCTCATTCCCAACCCCTCCCTCCCCCCCCCCCCCCCCCCCCCACCGCAGCAGAGACCCCCATCGAGGAGTTTACACCCACGCCGGCCTTCCCTGCGCTCCAGTATCTTGAGTCGGTGGATGTGGAGGGTGTGGCCTGGAGGGCCGGGCTGCGCACAGGAGACTTCCTCATCGAGGTGAGGCTTGTCCTTACCTGTGCAGCCAGGTGGGGTGCTGACCTCTGAGCCCCAAGGAGGACACACTTGGAACACCCCCACCACCCACCTGTCTGTCCCAGGTGAACGGGGTGAACGTGGTGAAGGTCGGGCACAAGCAGGTGGTGGCTCTGATCCGCCAGGGCGGGAACCGCCTCGTCATGAAGGTTGTGTCTGTGACGAGGAAGCCAGAAGAAGACGGGGCTCGGCGCAGAGGTGAGGGGCCGGGCTTCAGGCCTCTGTGCTCAGACCTTCCCCTCTGGCTCCTGACCTGAGACCTTTGACCTCAGGCTCACTTTCCTCTGCCCACGCCCTGACCCCAGACTGTGGAGGTCAGATGCCTAAACCTAGGTGAAATACCCATGTTCGTGGCCTGGGTGGCTTCCCAATCCCTGATGTTAGCCCACCGACCCTGGCCCCCAGCCTCTGACCTCTGACCCCTGACCCCAGGGTGCCCCTCCTCAGATCCCCACCCCCTCCTTCCCGGCGTCCCCCCCCAGCCCCTGGCGTGGAAGAGCCCTCCTCCCGACACTGCCAGCAGCTGCCTGGAGGCCGGGGTTGCCATAGCAACTGTGAGGTTGACGCTGCCGCCGCTTTATTGTCGGAGGGAAGGGGGAGGCGGCACCTGAGGGAAGAGGAAAAGCGTCTTCTCCCCGCGACGTCGCGGCACAGCCTGGGCCCGGGAGGCTTTGCCAGCTTGGGCCGGCCCAGCCCAGATCCTGGCTCTGCTGCCCACACCCTGGTCCCCCGAGGGGCAGCGGCCTCCAGGGCCCGGGGTGGGGGGGCCCTGGAGCAGCAGGAGCCCAGCCTGCCGGGAGACCCCTCCCAGCCCCCACCTCATGGCTTTGGTGCCCCCTTGCTCAGCCCTCGGAGCCTGCAGGGTGGGCATTCAGGTGGGAGCTGGCCGGCACCGTGACCCCCATTGGGGCCCTTGACCACCTACCTCCTGAGGCCCCAACTACCCCGGCCCCGCTGGGCCCTCAGCAACCCCCTGAGCTCCCAGCGCCATGAAGAAGTTTGCATCCAGCCGCAGCCTGAACAAGATCCTGGCGCAGTGCGACTCATCCTCACGGGAGTACGAGGAGATCCAGGCGGTGGAGCGCAAGTGGCACCTGCACCTGGCCACGCCGCGCTGCCTGCTGCTGGACAGGAGGTCCAAGGCCTCCCTCTTCTTTGCAGCCCCGCCGCCCCCCAAGAGGGCTCCCAGCACCACGCTGACCCTGCGCTCCAAGTCCATGACGGCTGAACTTGAGGAACTTGGTGAGCAGTGGGGGGTGGACAGCAGGCAGACAGTCCAGGGTGGGAGGCCAGGCAGAGTGAGCTGGGGCCAAAGCCAGGTAGAGACAGGGGAGCGGAAGGACAGACGGACGGATGTATGACTAGGTCAAAGGTAAATGGGTGGGTGCTGGAGTGGTGGGGAGGGGTACAACACATGGATGGCATGAGGGCTGGATATAGATAGTGGGCCAACCGGGACTGATAGGGTGCAGGGCCTGGCCTCCCAATGTGTTTGCATGCATGTGCACCTGCTGCCTCTGGCTCTGTGTACTTCCAGTCTGACTTCTCTCCTCCATTTCATCCAGGTGAGGGAAGAAGAGAAGTTAGGGGACCTAGGCTCTGCCGTGGCTCTGCTGACACTAGCTCTCTGATCTTTGTGCTTATTTTGCCCTCCTAACACCTGTTCACTCATCAGTTAAGCATGGGTTACAGCAAACTGCTGACCTCATAGGGCTGTGTGAACATCACTAGTATGATGGTGGGACAGGCCCTCATAAGCTGCAAGAGGCAGATAAGAGTATGTCAGGGCTTTGGTATGGCATGTTGTGAGCACAATCCTGGGATGACCCCCAATAGCTTCGTTGTAGGGCATGTCTTGAAATATGTGACTGTTAATAGCCTCAGCATAGGCGTGTCCAGATATACATGACTGTGTCCTGACATATGTGGCAGTTAATAATGGGCATATCCCAATATACATGGCCCAGTTCTAGTCCCAGACTTTTCTATGGCTCTAGCCATAGAAGGAATGCTGACTCTGGTCCTAGGCTGAGTTCTGAGATAGTCCTGTCTACAGGAAAGGCCCTGATCCTGGTTCTAGACTGATCCCCAACCTTGGCTTCAGGCTTTGTTCATTCCCAGCTATAGAAGGAACACTTACCTGTGTCTGAAAATTGTTCCTGATCTTACAAATAGAGTGACCCCTGACCTTGTCCTGGCCACAGGTTGAGCTACCCCCTCCTTTCAGGCAGACACTCTTGACTGCGGTGTCATTTAGTGTGGACTTCAGCCACCAAGATAGGTCAGGCTGACGTGGTCATACTTTTCTTCCCCATAAATATTCTGAAGAAAGTAAAAGCCAAAAGGATATGGCCAACTCAAGACAAAGGAAATTTCCCAGACCTCAAGAATGAAAAGAGAAGTCAGTTAAGTGAGAGGAAGCTGATGATGCTTCCATAGTCCATGAGGGCTTGGGACAGTGTTATAGACCCTAATGGCAGGGGCTAGGGTTCTCTTGCTTCCACAAAGCCAAGAGATGAGGCTGTGGACCCATGAGAAGTGGGAAAACTAGAAGCAAGCCCAGGAACCAGCATTAGCATCAGAAGAACTAGAAATCAAAGAATATGAAAGAGGCAAAATAAGGTGTTTAAATACAAAGTTTAAGGAAACTAACAGAACTCATAAGGAACAGGACAGTACAAAAAACAAAACAAAACAAAACAAAAACAAAAACAAAAAAACAAAAAACAAAACCAAAAAGAAAAAACCCAAAAACCAAAAACCAAAAGATGAATAAACAGATTTTAAAAGATCCCTAAAGAACTGTTATGGAAACAAAAGGTATAGTCACTGAGATTAAAAAATCCATGACTGGGATAAACAGTGTACTAGATTCAGCTGAAGAAAGAAACCGTGAATTAGAAGATAATTCTGAGGAAATTATCCCAAGTGCAGCACAGAAAGATAGGGATATGGAAAATATCCCTAGAGATAAGAGATGATGGAGAACAAATGAGAAAATCCCAGTCTAATGAGAGTCCCAGAGGGAAAGATTAAAATGAGGAAGAGGCAATATTTAAAGAGTACATGGCTAAGAATATTCAGAAATTGAATAAGGACATGAAATTCCATTTTGAAGAAGTATAAACCCCAAGCAAGGAAATAACAAATCTACATCTAGAGCTGTCATAGTAAAACTTCACAACACCATAGACAAGAAAAATCTTAAATACCAGAGAAAGGAGCTGGATGACATAGAAAGGAACAATGGTTAGACTGACAGCAGACTTCTCATCAGCAATAGTAGATGCTAGAAGACAATGGAACAATAACTAAAGTCTTGAATTAAAATGCCTTTCCACCTAGAATTCTGTCCCCAACTAAACCCACTCATTGAAGAGTGAGGCAGAGAAGCTGGCAGACTTTTGGCCCCAGGGTCACAAAGGTCCAAGACTAGTTATGGGGGAGCTGATCTGTCATACTGATTGAGAATGGAAACTGATTGACAAACCAGTACCCGTAGGCACCTGGGTCCGGCTGGACTCCAGACCAAGGCTTTGGTGGGTGGGTCCCAGGAGTCTCCTTCCAGAGGCTGTCACATAGCCATGATGAACTGCATGTTCAGAAGGGACCCTCCTAGTTCTGCATGAAGAGGTGCATAGGCAGCCTGAGATCTGTAATCCAGGGGCCAGGGGACTGAGCTCTGCGGAAACAGAAGAATTGCCTTCTGCTTTATGGGATGCTTCTGTCTAAAGAAGCTCCTTCCTCTCTGCTGTGATCCGGGGCCCTCCTGCTGCTGTGTGACAGGGTCGTTCCTTACACCCTTGTCTTTCAGAGGTGTTCTCTCTTGCTGCCTCAGGTCAGCATTGTTTCCACCATTTTTTTCCTGAGCAGAGTCTGGGGGAGGACAAAGGGACAGCTTAGCACAGAGCCTCCATGCACACTGCTGAGTGAGGGCGGGCTCACAGCTTATGTTGAAGCTGGACCTAGACTCTATGTAGCTCCATTCAGAGAGGGAGAAGCTACTCCTGCCTCCAGAGGACAGCTGTCGGGGGAAACCAGACTGCTTGCTTACTTTCTGTAGGTTTGAGGAGGACAGGCCAGCATCAGGGTTTCCCTGGGTACCTAAGGGGTCATCCCATGATTCAGTGTTTGTGCTTTTATAAGATAGAAATAAGACCTGTAGGCTCATTGGCAGCATAAACATGTCAGTTCTCTGTCACACTGTTAAGAACTGATAGAACCTGTTAGGATGCTGTGGTCTATTGAGAAGACGGCCTGAACACCTGGGAAGAAAGGAAAGTGTGAGGCCGCAGGAAAAGCAGGTGGCAAGGGTGGAGACTCACGCCCATATGGCTTCTTGCTCCTTGGTGGGTGTGGGGGAGAAGCAAGGTCATGCAGGAGGGAGAGGAGATAAAGAGCATACTGTGGGGGATGGTAGTGGCAGTGTCCAGAAAATGAAGGCCCGAGGTGACTGGCGGAAATGGGGTTGAGAGGAAGAGGTTGGGGTAGGAGCCCTCCTCCTAAAGCAGGTGGTGGGAGGAGACGGAAGGGTGGGGCACTCCCAGTGCCCTTCAGCGTGGTCAGTGCTCACCACATGTCCGTCTGCCTGAACCAATAATGAGCCGGCTGCACAGAGCAGTGGAGACTCAGGCCAGGGAGGGCCTTGGTGGGTCTAAACCTCTCCTATTTCTCTGCCTTCCTGTGAGAAATCTGGGGCTTTTTGGGTCCCTTTTTCTTTCATGATGGGAATGTTAGAGCAGGTGCCGTGCTTGAGTGTGATATCTGATTAGCCGTGGTCTGGCAAACACATTGACCTGCTCTTTGATACTGTACGGAATACTCAAGGGTGACCACTGGGCAACTGTTAGTGGCCTCTGAACTTTTTTTTTTGGGCGGGGGTTGCCTTTTTTCTGAACAAACATTTGATTGAACTGAGTATGATTAAGTTGTGTGTGGACATCTCCACACGTGTGTGCATGCCTGTGTGTGCATAAGTGCAATTATGCATATGTGTGAGTGGAGGTGCATGGATGTGTATGTGTGTGTGCATGTGCATGTGTATGCATACACACAAGCATGTATACCTGCTTGTGGTTGTTTCCACCTTGAGTTTCAAGCTGGGTACCAACTTGGCATTTGGGCACATTTGCCACTTGGGGTCTGATAGGGAGGGTTAGGCCAGGGTTGTACAGGATCTGGGAGGTCCCGGTTGTTGGAAGGGGTGGGAGTTGGAAGGGGGCCCAGATGCCGATGGATGAAGCCTGCCTCTTACCCCTGTGCTCTGTTTCTTGATTGCAAGCCTCCATTCGGAGAAGGAAAGGGGGTGAGTCATCTGCTGTGTCCCCATGCCCCCAGCTTTGTTTGACCCTGTCCAGGGAAGTGCTGATGTGTGAAGAGGCTCCATGTCAAGTCAGGGTGCTCTGGAAGCCTGGGCTGTACCTTCCTGTTGGCCTTCTCCCTGGGGATCTGGTGGGGGTGCAGTAGAGGGAGCTGGGGAAGGATGGATGGGGGGGGGGGTCCAGGGGTGTGGCTCTGTGGGGGTGTGACAGTGAGGCACAGCCATGGGCTTTGGGGGCTCAGGTGAGTGTGGGGGCAGCCTAGTGAGGCAGAGCTGGGAAAGCCTCCCGGTGGAGGCCACACCATTTGCCATGTTCTGGAGCTGGGTAGGGGGAAGGTTCAGAGGGCTCAGCTGTGGGTCTCCTCAGGGAGCATGGTAACTGGGCCAGTGTGGGCAAGAGTGTTGGGTGCTCAGCTCTGGCCCATTTGCTTCTTTCTGCCTGTTTTCTGGGGGCTCCTTGTGCCTGGTGTGTGGGTCCCATTCTGTGCTGATCTGTTGTGGGGTCTAGTCCGGTGCTGATGGTCCCTTCAGAACAGGAGTCTAGGCCCCACAGCATTGGGGAGGGAGCTTGGAGCTCCTCTGCCCAACATAGCCCAGGCTGTTGACTTCACCACCCCCTGCTCCTCCCATCAGGCCTCACCTGTTTGTTTGAGGCTCCTTCCTGTATGTTCTGTGTGTCCAGCCTGGCTGCAAAGAATGTAGCTTCCATGGTGGGGGGGGACAGAGTCTGAGGTCCAGCATCTGGTGAGATCTCAGGGCCTGGCCTCTGCCAGTCTTCTCCATCTCTCAAGTGGACGGGAGACTCTTTCTGCTGAATAGGAGTCAGAGCCAGAGGGAAGCCTGAGGTGGCTTTGTGGCCCCAGGCATGTGTGTTTGCCCATTTGTCCGTGTGCCTGGTGCCCACCCATCCCTCACTCTGGGATCCACAGGGCCTTCCCTGTGCTGGGGGCACATCAACACCATCTGTCTGGGCCCAGGCTCTCCAGCATGGCCTGTGGTCCGGCCCTCAGAGCTCTCCTGTTGACCCTTGCCGTAATCTCAGGTGAAGTGCTTTCCTTGGTGTCTTTTCAGGTATTAAAACTGGGTGTCCCCTAGGGACGCCTTTCTTCACTCTATGAGGCAGACACAAGCTATTTCTGGAATATTTTGGTTCTGTCCTAAGATCATTAGCGGAGCTCCCAGGGTGCCATGCTGCGGCCTGTGCACTTCTTCCAGTTGTAGGGGAGGTGACGGGTGATTCCTCACCCCTGGGGCCCATCATACCTGCTTGGGTTCTGGCTGTTTAAACAGCTGCACGTTGAGCTGTGTCGCCAGCACATGTGGAATCTTGATAACCAGTGTATGTGAGGCTGATGGGAATGTGCGGTTCCCAGTGCCCCAGACCTGGTTCCTAGAGGGCTTCATTTTCTTTTTTGAGTATCTAAAATAATTTAAGAATATATTTTCTAATAACGGTGGGGATTGGTGTCAACCTCACCAGCTGTTAGTTCGGAGAATTCTTGATTCTTTCTCTTTTGGAAATAATTCTTGCCTGGCCCCAGCACGATCACCTTACCTCCAACAGTATTTGCTTTGCTAACTTCATGTGCACTCTGCTTTTGGTCTCTGGGATTGAGTTCTTCTGGAGCTAGAGATGCAGCTTCTAAACCCACAGCTCGGGTGAGCACATGCTCACTTTTTACTTCACTCATGTCTTTATGTCTGAGGTTTCTGGAAAATGTGGTTGTTAAGTCTGACCCCTAACTTATTGAATCTATGATCTGGAGCACTCAGATCTCTCAGAAATTCAGTTTCTTTTTGGGTAAAATGAGGGCGGTATCAGTATCTTCTTTGTGTGGTTGTGAGGAATGAGAGGAGAAGGCTCATCAGAAGCTCTTTTCACTGAAAATCACCAAGGACTGAACGCAGGGTGGTGATGGTGGTTTCAGCTTCCAAAGGGGAATTATTTGCTTCATTACAAAAACAAAGAAGATGATCCCTCTAACGAGCCCTTCCTGGTGTGCACCTGGGCCCAGGTACCAGTGGCGCTGGGAGCTACACCCAGGACCGGTAAGCTAGTCTGTAGATGGAGCATGCTCTGGTGAGTTGTAACATTTGCTGAACTCCTGTGTTACTCAGGGCCCAGGCTGGACGCTCAGGGCAGGCAGGGGATGGTACTGGCTCTTTCCTCCTGAGAGCTCACGGGCTCTCTGGGGAGAGAAGGCGCACCGTGTGTGTTCAGTGCTTCCCCTGAGCCAGGCAGGGCAGCACTTGTCATGTGTAGACACTGACAGTAGGTACAGACAGTAGACACTGAAGCAGCCACCATTTTAGGGTTGTTTTATCAGATAAGGAAACTGAGTCACAGAGAGGTTAAGTCAGGACAGAGGTGGTACGCGATGTGGGTCTGGTCCGGGTTGGGTGCCGGCCAGCTCTGACTTCTTTCTCCGTGGCAGTTGCCGAGTGGGTTGCAGAGGCAGAGCCAGGAGGTGCTGGTGGGAGGTGTTGGGGCTGACTGTGTCCTCTGACAACAGGCACTTGGAGAGCGAAAGCCCGGGCGTGACCAGACACATGGCCCTCTAGGGTGGCATGGGCCCTGAGGGCTTGGGGATTCAGAGCCTGAGCGACGAGTGGGGCGAGGTCAGTGTGGCAGCCATGTGGGCACGGGAGCTGCCCCCAACTCCTGCTGCAGCCCACATCTGGCCCTGAGTGGACCACAGCTGCCAGTTCTCAGACACATGCGTTTAACACAATTTCCAAGTCATGTTGATAATCAAAAACACCACTTTAAAAAGTACTAAACAGCTTTAATAAAAACAAGCAAACAAAGCTTTTCTTTATGATGGATTTGAAAAGAGTGCTGCCTGAGGCCTCCTGGTGCCTTTCTCCCTTCTAGGGCCTCGTTCACACATCAGCTCCCCACCCCTCCCACCCCCCGTCTTCCTTACCCTCCTCTCAAGGGGCCCGTGGAAGCCCCTTCAGCACCATCAGCACCTCCCACCCAGGGTGGGGCTGCTTTTCCAGGAATGGAGGTTCTTTGGCCTGCTCATCTGCGTGGAGCCATATTTTTAGGTCCCTAGCCTGGGACTGTGAGTTCTGTTTTCAGGCAGTGTCCCCTGTTCATTCATTTGTAGCTTATTCACACCTTCCATGGGCACCTGCTGCACACCAGGGTCTGTCCTAGGGCTGAGGTCCATCAGAGGCAGCTTAGCTTTTGGTGCAGCAGCTACAGACAGATGAGTAGTGCCAGGTGTTGAGGAGAAAAGGGACAGGGCCAAGGGCAACAAATTCAGGAAGACTTGAAACTCCAAACAGTGCTGTCCCTGTCCTGGTCCTCTCCCGAATGGTCAGTCAGGCTTTTCCTGGAGTGGGGTCCGAAGGGTGACCTGGACCACCCTTGGAGGACAGAGCGGCCAGGCGGGAGTGGGACTCAGATGGGATGCATGTTACTCGGCTTCTGGCCCCCGGCCTCAGGTCTGGAAGAAGGGACATCAGGCGGGCAGGGCCCAGTGGCTCCGTTAACATCAGGAGGACTCAGCATGGGGTGCACGAGGGTGGAGCAGGTTCAGGGTCCAGGTGGTTGAGACGGTGCCTCCCTTGGCTGTGCAGAGAAGCTGGATGAGATCCTGGCAGCCGCCACGGAGCCCACGCTGAGGCCAGACATCGCGGACGCTGACTCCAGAGCTGCCACTGTCAAACAGCGGCCCACGAGTCGGAGGATCACACCTGCTGAGATCAGTGTAAGCCACCCCAGCAGCTGGGGGGTGGGGGGGCATGGGGAGGGGAGAAGGCAGGGAGGGGCGCGGGGGTCAGAGCTCCATGTCCCCTACTGTGCGTTTGTGCATTTTTCTGGGGTGGGAGTCCGTCATTTGGACCCTCCTCTCCAGGGGTGAGGGTGAAGGACCCCATGGCTTCTCACACACGTGGGGAAATCTTGTCCTCCCAGAATGGCCACAGTTTAACAAATGCTGAGTGCTCACTCTTGGCCCTGGGTCCCAGTGCCTCCTGCATAGCCACACCCAGGACCACCTAGAGCACCCCAGCCCTGTTGAGGGTACAATGCAGTGTCTCTGCACCCCGCCCCCCGACTCCTCTCACTTGGCATCTTCTGGGCTACTCCCCCAGCCTTGTCCATGTCAACCCTACCCAATACTCTATGCCCACGCCCCCACTGGCTATGCCCCTGCTCTCTGGAGTCTCTGTGCCTGGGTCTGAGTCTTGGGTCAGGCCCCACTGGTGCCAGCACCATTGTGATTAGTGTGTGGGGTGTTTGATCTCAGGCTTAGAAGGATGGCTGGGGCTGGATGGAGAACTGGGACCCCCAGTGCCCTAGAGCCTCCTTCTAACCCCCCAACTCCAACAGTCTTTATTTGAGCGCCAGGGCCTTCCAGGCCCAGAGAAGCTGCCCGGCTCCCTGCGGAAGGGGATTCCACGGACCAAGTCTGTAGGTACGGCTGGGCTGGGGGTTGCGTGGGGCTGGGGTGGATGTGGGGCTGGAGGACCCTGTCTCTCCCAACCCTCCAGTTGGGGTTTTAAGGTTTCCTCTGAGAACCCCATCTCCCTGGTCATAGCCCAGGAATCTCATTTGTTTGTGGACATATGTGGGATCCGTCCTTTCCCCAAATCCAGACAAACTGTCAAAAGAGACCCTTGAGGCTTCCTCACTCCATCCACCACTTCCTGTCCATTGTGTCCCCATCCCTGCTCTGGTCCACTATTGCCCCCCCATCCGCTCCTCCCCGTCCAGTCTGCGCCCCCGACATTCCTCCCCGTCCAGTCTGTGCCCCTCCATCCGCTCCTCCCCGTCCAGTCTGTGCCCCCCACACTCTTCCCTGTCCAGTCTGCGCCCCCCACCAGGTATTGCTCTGTATCTCTTTTCCTTCACAGCCAGTCTTCTCCAGAAGTCACTTGCAGTTGCTGTCCCTGTCCTCATCTGCTCCTCAGCTTGGGGCAGCATAGGTCTCTCCACACCTAAAACTGACTTTGCTGCCACCAGGGTCACCAGTGGTTTGCAGGGCATTCCTTCCAGCAGACACATGACCAGCCCTTCTCTTGTTGACCTCAACTGGCATTTGATTTTTCTGCTCACCTCCCCAGAGCTTTAGGACATTTCCTGGTTCTTTCCTCTGTTCTCAGGCTGTACCTGTTCAGGACAAGATGTAAACCTAAAAAAAACCTCCACACCAAATGTGGGTCCTCTCAAGGCTGTGTCCTTAGCCTCTGTGCCTTCTGTACCTGTCTCTTTGGGGCCTCATCATGCCTCACACTCGCTGTCCCGCCTCGCATGTAGCCATCTCTCTCGACCCCAGACTGGGGCATCTCACAAGCTCCACTCACTGCCCTTCCTTCTAGACATGTAGTCCCCTCTCACCTGCCCACTTCTCCATCCATTCCTTCACAGACCTGCCCACTTGTCCATCCATCGGTCTGCATACACTGCAGCTCCCCCATCATCTGTTCATCATCAGAGTAAACACCACAGTGTTTATGCACACTGGTTCATTTCATACTTACAGTAACCCTGTTGAGGTAATACTATTAGTACCTCTGTATTACAGGTAAGGAAACTAAGGTAAAGAGGTAAAGTGACTTGCCCAAGGTCTTACCTTGTCTTCTGGTAAGACATCATGCCAGCCATCTGCCCAGACCTGCCCAAAGGGGGCTTTCTGCAGAGCAGATACCACCCCATATCCCTCCAGTTCACCCGTGGTGGGCTCTTCATTGCCTTGGGGCCTTGGACCCCAGTCTCAGCTTTCTCCTACTTCATCTGGGGGCATTTGTCTCCATTTCCTTCTTACCTGGGTGTACCAACACTCGCTATTCTGCACCTGGCCTCAGTCTGCCTGGATGGCCTGTCGCTCAGCCCAGCCCAGTCCCAGGACTGACCACCACAGGTCCAGATCTCAGTGCCTTCCCTGCAGGATGTGAGCCTCTTGGTGGGTATTCCTCCTGAACCCTCCTGTGCTCATTCTGTGAGTGAGTGAGAGGGGTTCATCTTCAGGCTCCTTGCCCTGGCCTGCTGCCCATCACCAATGTGAGTGTTGGTCAAGGTGTCAGATTCCCAGAGTCCCCCACCCACCCTTGTCCTGGGCACATGATTCAGTCCTGGAAACCTCAGCATCCTGGTCCATAAACTTGAGTCCCATCTAGTACTTGCCTCCAAGTCTACGATGTGGCTCACCCAGTGGGCTGTACTCAGAGGCTGAGTATAGGCATCAACCACTGATACTGTTCCTAGATGCAGGTCCTGAATCTTGAGGCTGGAACACAGTGTTTGAGAAATGTTTGCTACTCTTCATTGGGCAGAGGTCCCCACCCCACCTTGGGTGGTATCAGAACAGATTCCCCACTTCATCCCAGGCAAGTGACTTATCTTCACCCTAAGTTAGAATTTGGCATGCCAAATCTCCTGCGTCTTCTAGGAGCACAAGCTTTTCCCCATGTAGTTTGTCTCATAAGATAAGTTGTGCAGCGGGGAGGAGGCCCCAAAAGAACCTGGCACAAATCTTGTGTCCAGCCATGGGGGTGGAAGGCAGACCTAAAAATGATGATGATGATGATGATGATCATCATCATCATCATCATCATCTCGGCCTCCTTCCTGGGATGCTTCTAGGTGCTCAGCCCCATGCTGTAGGCTTTAAATGGCTCCAGCTGTGGCAGCCCCACAACAGGGGCCAGCATTTCGCTTGAGATTAGGAAACTGACCTGCTAAGAGATTAAGTAATGTCAGACAGTAACTTCCAATGCTAGAATTCAAGCCACACGAAAGCCCACCTTTGCTGCGCCCGGGGTGAAGAGCTGTCATGCAGGACAAGATGTAGATCGTGCAGTGTGGGAGGCCTGGGGAGACCACCTTGGCTGAAGGAGGAGGTGGCTGGGAACAGGCAATCTGCATTGTAGTGAGTTCGTAAAAATGCGAGCAAGTACAGAGTGAAGCCAAGTGTAGATTCCCAAGGCACTCCACCAGAGACCTGTGCGTATCAACATGGAGGAAACATTCATCCACTGTCCTCCGGTTGGGCCGTCGAACACTTGCAGCCTAACTGAACATGCGTACGGTACAAGTGTCCATATTGTGCCCACAAGGACACTTGGGAGATCTTGCCAGGCTCTAGCCAGGCAGCAGGACAATGAGGGCCCTGAACATCCCAGTCCTGCTCTTGCACAGACCCTAACTCGGGCAGCAGAGCGGGTTTCATTTTAAGCCCGTGTTGCCCATGAGAGAATTGAGATTCAGGGGGGCCCAGGGCCCGGCCTGGGGCCACACAGCCCATAGGGAGTACAACTGACACATGGGTCAGGTGCTTAGTCTGCAATTCCACTTTAGCTCTTCCTCCTTCCCTTCCACCCTCCCTCACTGAAGTTCAGCCATTGAGGTTATAGCAGTGACCGGGCAGTGTGTCCGGTCCCGTTCACTTGGGTCTCTGGGATGGAGCCTCTCAGGGCTTGTCTTTTCACAAACACCTTTTCACCTGGGCGCCAGCCTTCTTTCTGCCAGATGCATGGCTCAGCTGGCCACAGTCCTGCTGCCCCTCTGACTACAGTCCGTGCATCACTCCTACTCTGGGAGAGTGTCCCCCTAATTTCTGACCATCTCTCTTCTTTCCGTCTCTGGTTGCCACCAGGGAACTCCCAGTGACACCTGCTTGTTCCATTGCTGCAATGTGGCCTTGCTCAGTCTTGGATGGAAGCCATGCACCATTCGCCCCTACCTCTTCTGTGCAGTTGTCTTCACCACTCCGCGTGGGGGGATGTGTAGGGGCTGCCCCGATTCCCCCTGGGTGTCTTCTTTGGGCCCTCTCAGTGTGATGGGGCTTGGGCAGGTCTTGGCCCGAACCCAAGACTTTGGGTCCTTTCACAGTCTGTTGGTGGGGCCCTCCTCTGCCTTATATCTGAAAGAATACCTCTCCCCAAGTCTTTCTAAGAGCCCCCTCCCCCCCAACTCAACACTGGGCTTGGGGTGCAGAGCTGGCATCCAGGGAGGAGCCCAGACTAGGGGCCTCGCTCAGATCTCCTGCTCTGGGCTGCCCTGTCCCCTTTTCTCTCAGACCCCAGCCTCCGTGCCCTTCTTGACCCCGTCCTCCCCGGCTGGGTATCGCTTCCTGCCAATCTCTAAGGGGGTGGCTTCGCAGTCCTTGCATCCGGGGCCATGGCTGCCCTCAGGTGGAGTCATGGCAGGGCTGGTCCCTGCACAGGGCCGGCGCCGGGGTCTCACCAGGGCCTTTCTGTCCGCAGGGGAGGATGAAAAGCTGGCGTCCCTGCTGGAAGGGCGCTTTCCGCGCAGCACGTCCATGCAAGATACGGTGCGTGAGGGCCGTGGCATCCCGCCCCCGCCGCAGACCGCACCGCCGCCCCCACCCGCTCCCTACTACTTCGACTCCGGGCCGCCCCCCGCCTTCTCACCGCCACCCCCTCCAGGCCGCGCCTACGACACAGTGCGCTCCAGCTTCAAGCCCGGCCTGGAGGCGCGCCTGGGCGCTGGGGCCGCGGGCCTGTACGATGCCGGCGCGCCCCTGGGTCCGCTGCCCTACCCGGAGCGGCAGAAGCGTGCGCGCTCCATGATCATCCTTCAGGACTCGGCGCCGGAGGCGGGCGACACCCCCCGGCCTCCTCCGGCGGCCACCCCACCGGAGCGTCCAAAGCGGCGGCCGAGGCCGCCGGGCCCCGACAGTCCCTACGCCAACCTGGGCGCTTTCAGCGCCAGCATCTTCGCGCCGTCCAAGCCTCAGCGCCGCAAGAGCCCGCTGGTGAAGCAGCTGCAGGTGGAAGACGCTCAGGAGCGTGCAGCCCTGGCAGTGGGCAGCCCTGGCCCGGGTGGCGGCAGCTTCGCCCGGGAGCCCTCCCCGACTCACCGTGGGCCTCGGCCAAGCGGCCTTGACTACGGCCCCGGGGAAAGCCCCGGCCTCGCATTCGGGGGCCCAGGCCCGGGCAAGGACCGGCGGCTGGAGGAGCGGCGACGCTCAACCGTGTTCCTGTCGGTGGGAGCCATCGAGGGCAGCACACCTAGCACAGACCTGCCCTCCCTGCAGCCCTCCCGCTCCATCGATGAGCGCCTGCTGGGGGCTGGCGCCGCCACCACCACCACCGGCCGAGACCTGCTCCTGCCCTCCCCCGTCTCTGCTCTGAAGCCATTGGTCAGCGGCCCGAGCCTTGGGCCTTCAGGCTCCACCTTCATCCACCCACTCACCGGCAAACCCCTGGACCCCAGCTCGCCCCTGGCCCTCGCCCTGGCAGCTCGAGAACGTGCTCTGGCCTCCCAGGCGCCCTCCCGGTCCCCCACGCCCGTGCACAGCCCTGACGCTGACCGCCCTGGGCCTCTGTTCGTGGATGTACAGGCCCGCGACTCTGAGCGAGGGGCACTGGCCTCCCCAGCCTTCTCCCCAAGAAGCCCCGCCTGGGTTCCTGTGCCTGCTCGGAGGGAGCCGGAGAAAGCACCCCGGGAGGAGCGCAAGTCGCCAGAGGACAAGAAGTCCATGATCCTCAGCGTCCTGGACACATCCCTGCAGCGGCCGGCCGGCCTCATCGTCGTGCACGCCACCAGCAATGGGCAGGAGCCCAGCGGGCTGGGGGCTGAAGAGGAGCGCCCGGGCACCCCGGAGCTGGCCCCAGCCCCCGCACAGTCAGCAGTGGTGGCAGAGCCCCTGGCGAGCCCCCGGGCTCAGCCCCCTGGCAGCACGGCTCCGACAGACCCCGGGCCGGGCCAGGGCAGCTCCGAGGAGGAGCCAGAGCTGGTGTTCGCTGTGAACTTGCCGCCCGCCCAGCTGTCCTCCAGTGATGAGGAGACCAGGGAGGAGCTAGCCCGCATTGGGCTGGTGCCGCCTCCCGAAGAGTTTGCCAACGGGGTCCTGCTGGCCACCCCACTTCCTGGCCCAGGTCCCTCACCCACCGTGGTGCCAGGCCCGGCCTCAGGGAAGCCGAGCAGCGAGCCGCCTCCTGCCCCTGAATCTGCAGCTGACTCAGGGGTGGAGGAGGCTGACACACGCAGCTCCAGCGACCCCCACCTGGAGACCACAAGCACTATCTCCACGGTGTCCAGCATGTCCACCCTGAGCTCGGAGAGTGGGGAGCTCACTGACACCCACACCTCCTTCGCCGATGGACACACTTTTCTACTCGAGAAGCCACCAGTGCCTCCCAAGCCCAAGCTCAAGTCCCCGCTGGGGAAGGGGCCGGTGACCTTCAGGGACCCGCTGCTGAAGCAGTCCTCGGACAGTGAGCTCATGGCCCAGCAGCATGCCGCCTCTGCCGGGCTGGCCTCCGCTGCCGGACCTGCTCGCCCTCGCTACCTCTTCCAGAGAAGGTCCAAGCTGTGGGGGGACCCCGTGGAGAGCCGGGGACTCCCAGGGCCTGAAGATGACAAACCAACTGTGATCAGTGAGCTCAGCTCTCGCCTGCAGCAGCTCAACAAAGACACACGCTCCTTGGGGGAAGAGCCGGTTGGTGGCCTGGGCGGCCTGCTGGACCCTGCCAAGAAGTCGCCCATCGCGGCAGCTCGGTGAGCAGGGCAGTGTGGGGAGGGTCCTGTCCCGTGTCCATGCCCCCCCCCCCCACCCTGTGTTTTTCCTCTTGTCTGTCCACCATCGGAGGTTTCCTCCGTTCCCCTCCCCAGTCCATTCTATCCCACCCCTTACCTGTCCGTGGCATGCCTCTCTGTCCACTTGTGTCCTTTGTCTGCCCTTGCTTTGTCTGTGTGAGACAAGTCTCATTCAGGGATCTGAAATCTTGGGGCCGCTGTTCTCTCCATCCTGTTGGTGCTAGGAGTGGGGGCTGGGCACCCATCAGAGACCCAGCGGGGCCGAGCACCTCCACAGCCCTCCTGGAGACGCCCTGCCTCGGGGGGTTCTTGTGGGCTCTCACTCTTTTGCTCCCGACCAAAGCTGCCTCTCCTGTTACGGGTTGTTCTGTGCTCCATCCTGGAGTTGCAACCCGCTCCCCTCCCCCCACTGTTCAGCTTCGCTGTGAGCCTGTGGGCCTCCAACCCCATCCTCCCTGTGGCCACATGGCTGATGCCACCTTTCCTGTAGCTGCCTCCTGCCTTGCTTCCTTTTGAGGCTTAGAGTACACAGACTCCTTTTCCTTTTGGGATGCACCAGCAGCTCCCTGTGTTCTGCCCCAGAAAAATTTGTCTCTCTGCTCTGCCTCAGAGCCCCCTAAACACAGACTGCAGTGCATTTTCAAAGTGCATTAAGAAGCCATTCTTAGGGGGAAGTCACAGCATCCCTCCATACTCCATCTGCCCTCTCGCCTTCTCCGTACCTTCCCTGTTCCTCTGTCTGTCTGCTCGTCCCACCTCTTGCCCAGGGTGAGGACTTGAAGAGGCCACGTTGTGCCCTGGAAATGGGGGTGGGGGTTGCTGAGCAAGGGGCTGGGGTGCTGCTCTGGTAGAGCTGCCAGAGCCCCTGGGCTGGTCCCTTGGATATTTCCTTGAGGACCCCATTCCCAAGGCTTTGCTCCTGAAGGGGTCCCCCTTGGGCCTGTGGGCTCCATGGATGTTGGTGGGAGAGCTGGTTCCTGCCCACTGGTGCTGGTCTGAGGCAGCTCTGGTAACCCCCTGGCTGGCCCTTGTCTGCCCTTTTCAAGCTGCCTTTGCCTTCTGTACCCCTTTAGGCCCTCCTCCCTCTTCTGGCTTTGTCGGGGGTGGGGGGGGGCGGTGTGAGGTGCCACTGCCTGGCCTCCTTCTTGCTCCCTGAAGACCAGCCTATTGGGCCCTTTCCTGTCAGCCTTGGAAGGCACAGCTCACAAAGTGAGGGATTCGGTCTTATTCACAAGGGCTTGTCTGATTTACCTTCTTCCAGTTAAGGGTTCAAAAGATGTGTGGGGGCTTGGGAAGCTCACGGTGCCTCCCCTAAGTGGTCCAGGAATATTGTCCTTCAGCTCCTGTCATCTCAGGGGCTCGCTTTGGGGCCCTCTCCCCTTTTGGCCTCTTCCAACTCCCAGCTGAATGTGAAAGCCCTCTTTCCAGCAGGGCAATGCCAAAGGTACCCTGAGAGTGGGCGTTATGGGCATGGCCAGGGTATCCATTTGGGATGAGTAGCCCAGGTCCTGGGCTTCTGCAGGACCTAACCCCTGGGGACGGGGGGTTCCCTGACCCACCCTCGACCATCCCCTATCTTCATCTCTGCTTCTCCTCCCTTGCCAGTCCCTCTGTTCTCTATGTCCTTTGGTCCCAGTGAAAATTAAAGCCACTTAAAGTGGGAAGCACAGTTCCTGATACAGTGCAGGCCCTCAATAAATGTTTGCTCAACAGACGAAAGAACTAAGCTAAATGCAAGCACTGTCTTTTGTGACCTGTAATCTAGGGAGGGGGCTTAGGATAAATATCACTGAAGGACAGACACATGATTCAGATGGACTGGTTGTTGGACCCCATGATCAGGCTCAGGCGAGCCTGGGTCTTGTCATTTGCTCTGCTGGCTCCCATGGGGTGGCTGGGCACCCTGAGCATTTCTCCTCTGTCAGGGTAAAGGTCTCTTGTCCCATGGCTCTGGGTTGTGCCATGACCCTGTGTTTGTGTTCTGATTTGGACATGGGATGGGGCAGGGCAAGACCCACAGGTGCCAGCTTTGCACCCCACCTACCCCACAGGTGCACTGGAAAGGGAGCCTCTTTGACTTGGCACTTCTTGCAAAAGTCCAGCCTCTGATTGGCTTCACATGGGTCCCCTGCTTTCCCCTGGATGAATCAGCAGGGTCAGGGATGCTGTAAGGCCTCCATTGGGCAGGCCTGAGTCCTGTGCTCTCCTGGGAGCTGGGGCACGGGGCCAGCCCACCTAGCAAACAGGTGCTGAGAGTGAGGGAGGGTGGGTCTCCAGAGGAAAATCAGCTGCTGTTACGGGGGTCCAGATGCTGGAAAACCTAAAACAACACAAGTCCCTTGTGACATGTTCTCACCAATGTCGGCAGTTTGCTTCGTTCCCTGGCATCAGCTTGGGGTCAGAGGGCCCTGGATATCAACTCTCAGCTAGTTGCACCTGAGCTCTGTAGTCTTGGATGAGCCACTGTGAACTTCAGTCCCTCGCCTGTGAGATGGTGACGGTGACACCCTGAAGCACCAAGCTCAGGGCTGCAGCATGGTGGGTTCTCATGAAGTGGGCACTCAGCCAGGTCCTTCGTGGGAAATAAAAGGGCCGGATATTGCACTGGAAAATGCCAGGTCATATTATTTCACTTCTACAGCCATTCTCTCAGATGGATAACAGCATACTCTCCATTTTCCAGACAATAAAACTAAGGTTCTAAAGAGGTCTATTGCAGCTGGTAAGTGGTGGTATCTGTCTGGCCCCAAGCCCCACTCTCTGTTCACTGTACTCTGGGGGCTGTGTCGTTAAGCCCCTTCTGGTGACGGATGCTGGGTTTCTGTGCGGTAGCCTCTCACACAGAAATGCGCACCTGTTCACTGGGTAGACTGACACCGTTACCTATCAATCGCGTATATCACAAATAGCACGTGTATTCTGAAATCGCTTATCCTCGAGTCCTCGGAGCGCTACCTCATCAGCCCAGCTACACGGAGCCATCCCTCTGCCCTGCCTTCCTATTCCCACTTCCCTCTGCACCCCCTTCTCTCGTTCACACTTCCTTTGGCCCTCTCTGCTTCCCCTCACCCCTCAGATCTGGGTGAAACCACAGTCCCCAGTGGCGTGGACCCCACTGCCCACTCTTGGCTTCTGGCCAGAGGCAGGGGGCTGAGCGGAGGATTCAGTGAGCGTGTGGAGTCGGCCCCTCCATGTGGCTGGCAGGAGCTGTGGTGCCCGCCAGGGCTGCTGGGCAGCTCTCGTTTGCAGCTCACTGTGGCTGGAACCTAGCACTCCTCTCTCATTTAGTGATGAACTGCTAGTGATACGGTCTCTAAGAGTTCAAAGTGCGGGAAGTTCTGGTGTCTGGGTGGGGCTGTTTCCTTCCCGGGACCATTCTTGGCAGAGGCCCCAGAGTAATTGCCTTGGCCACCTGGAGGGACCTCTGGCTTTTTGCGACATTGATCCTAGACTATTCATCTGCTCTATGCTTCTAGCTTCGGGTCTAGCCCTCGTATAGACAGGACGTCCATCTTCTCAGAGCCCCACCATGGTCTTTGAGGCTCACATCTGTACCCAACTCCACTCGCCTTCGGATCGGAATCCCACATGTCATCTGAAGTCCATAGTGTCTCTGAGCACCGCAGAAACACTCAGCTCTGCTGTGGCTTTCAGTTTTACATCTGTCTGACCCTCACCTCTGGTTTCATAGAAGAAAGTTCATGGTGAAATAGCTGTGGAAATACAAAGTGAAAGGGGTGTCTTTCCTGCATCTTCTTAGCCCCTTTGATGTGCTTTGCGCCATGGCCTTGAACCTGTTAGGTCTCAGCTTCTCTGGCAGATCGTTAGTAAGTGTCTTGCAGAAGACACACATTCCTTATGATGGGGTAGAACCCCTGCTCTGGTGACTTTCTGTGGACCCTGTTCTACTAACATGTTTGGCTGGGATCTGGATACCACCTTGTGTCACCGCAGGTATCTCAAGGCCAGTGGGGCTTCTTCTGAAACCTGGGCTGACACTTGTGGTGTGACGGCCGACGTAAGAGCACTGGGGCCAGGATGTGCTTTGTCCTCGCAGGCCACACGAAACCGGGTCACATGCTTCAGGAGCCCTGAACTATGCTGGGGGAGCAGGAAGTGCTCACAGATGAGGGGATGTAGAGGCATTTGGAGGGTGCTGAGGTTGGGCGGTGAGAAGGCGAAAGGCTGGAGACGCCCTGAGCGGAGAGTGCGCTTTGAAGCTTATGAGTCTGTATCTAGTTTTGCGCTGCTGTTGAGGGTTCTGTCCCTGAGTGGAGCTCCCAGACTGCAAAAGCCCACAAGGCCTAGACCTGCCCTGCATGAGTGCACTGGCAGAAGGCCCAAGACAGAGACCAGGACCAGAGCTTGGGCTTTTCCCTGTCTGTTGGTGCCAACAGGCCAACAGGCAGTCAAGCCTGGGAGGGACACGTCCCATTATTTTTGTTTGCTGACATTTAGCTTTGTCAGTGAGGAAATGAGGTGAGAGGTGCTGAGTGAAAATGTCTGGACCCTGAGGTGGCCGGGAGGGTGAGGATAAGGGCCTGGGTTAATGCTGGGAGCCCTCCATGAAAAGGAGGAGGAGCTGAGGGTGGCTCCCGGTCCCTGGTGTGGGGAGGACTGGGGGAAGGGAGAGCATGTTTGGAGGCCCCAGTAGAGGTCTGGAGCTCAGGAGAGCCTGGGCTCACATGTAGCATTCTTGGGCACGTCAGCCGTAGCCAAGGGTGGGAGTGGACCACCTGGCCCAGGAGAAAGCGTGTGTGCTGAGAGGAGAACCCACAAAACTCATCTAGGAAGGAAGGGGTCCTGCTACAGCCTGGGTAACTGCAGGGGTGTGGGGCAAGGGGCAAGGGGCAAGGGGCGAGGCCAGACCCCAGTGGCTGAGGAATCACCAGGCAGCAAGACAGTAGCAGGTTCAGACGTGGTGGAAGAGACGTCCGGGGCCACGGAGCCTTGCGGAGCCATCTGGAGGAGGATGCTGACGGCATTCAGGGGTGCCCGGTGAGGTACCGCTCGTCAGGGGGCGGGTGGCCCAGAAGCCCTTTGGGAGGCTGGCGGGTGCCGTGATGTGGCCACACCGTGGCTGGGGCCTGGCTGGGGCGGCGTCAGTTGAGAGTGGCGACGGACGGTGACGGCCGTGCCGAAGTGGCGTGGAGACTTGGCTGTGGACGCTGCTGGGGTTCCTGCTCAGGGGACGACGTGGGCAGTTCCCTGCTCCCCTGGAGGAAGGGAGGAGGGGCAAGCACTTGGGCCATGGGTACCCTTGGCCGCTCCCTGCTGTGTCCTGGGGCCTTGGGAGGCCACAGACTTCCTTATGCTCTTCTTGTAGGCCTCCTGCCATGTCCACCATGCTCTGGGCATCCTTAGGACTGGCTCTCTCCCCACTTCCCCACCCGGTGGAATACGGCTCTTCATTCCCTCACTCATGGCACCTCCTGGCATCAGCCACATTTTCTCCAGCAGGTGCCCATCTCCTGGCACCCACCACCTCTCCTCGGGAGGCTCTGCCTGGGTGCCGCTAGAGCCGGCCTCACCCCTCTGACAGGAGGGAGCGCTTCGGCACTGGCCAGAAGGGCGTCCTGGAGCCCAGACCCTGCTCTGGGCTCAGGCCAGGCGTCTCCACTGCCCTCCCCAGCACCCGTCCAGTTCTCTCTGCCTTCACAGCTCGGCTGTGGTCCTGCCAACTTGTCAACATGCTTCTGTCACACCGGAGACCCTGGGCACACCCACACGGTTCCACTGAAACTTAACCCTTGGGGTAGGGCTAAGCAGGATTCCCTCCTGAGACACGAGGTCCTCAGGCCTGGGTCGCTGTGTGAGAGTCGTGGCGGAGCTCTACCGGGACCATCCCCTCCGCACCTTACCCTGCACTGCAGCCCCCACCCTAGCATTTCCCTAGCAGTCCCCGCCACCTGGGCACCCACCACCCCCTTGCAACATCCCCTTGGGTACCCTCCCTCTCTCCTTCACTGCCGACCCGCTTTGCCCCAAAGCCCAGGTGGTGCCAGGGAGATCAGGTGTGGTGGGAGCAGGGAGGGTTTCTTTTGGCTGGTGCCTGTTCCCTGAGCCCACCCCAGGTGTCCTTAGAGCCCCTCGTCATGGGGGGTAGGGCGGAGGGAGGCCTGGTTTCAGGAGGCTCTGCTGTGGGTCTGAGCACTGGGGGGAGGCAGCGGGGAGAGCGGCTGAGGGGAGAAAGCCGGTGGAAAGTGATGGAAGCTGGAAACTGGAACTGAGGTCAAGCGGGAGGGACAGACAGAACTGGATCTTTAGGGAGAGGCTGGTCTTGCCCAGGTGGGAGATGAAAAGACAAAGCCTGCACGGAGGCGCGGAAGGGCGCCCAGGGTGCCCTGTGCGGTGCGAGACTGGCACCAGTCAGGATAGAGCAGAGGTGGATGGGGGCACCCAGAGGAGGCTCCTCAGCCCGGCAGGGGCAGGGGCAGGGGCAGGGAGGGGGGATGGCAGCTGCAGAGGCCAGTCAGGCTGCAGAGAGTGTAAGGGGACATGAAGTGTCACCCAAGTGCCAGGTGTCTGCCGAGCACTTGCCACACAGTGTCCCAAGGAAAGCCTGTGGAGGTCACACAGGCAGACCCGGAACCCACCCAGATCTGCCCACGTGTGGCCTGCAGGTCCCTTTCCCCGGCAGCCCCAGATTTGCTCTCTCCCATTGTACCTGACTGAGTTCCTCCCCCAGTGGGTGTCTGGCCAGGGAGACCTGTACCTGGCTGCCATACTGTAGCTGTGACTGTGGGCCATGTGCCTGCTGTGTGGGCCTGGGCTGCTAACACTCTTTCTCATTGCTCTCTCCTGCCCATCTGCATGTGGCTGCTCTGTCTAGCTGCGCGGTGGTCCCGAGCGCCGGCTGTGTAAGTGAGCATGCCCATCCCATGCCTCTCACTGTCCATAGCTGCACCTGGTCACCCTGGTCTCTGCTCTGCTTGGCTTCGTGAGGCTTCTGTGCCACCGACAGCCCCCTGAGGCTTCCCCTGGGCGCAACTGGGGATAGGGACCGAAAGGAGGGGGTGGGAGAGGGGAGTGGGTTTTCTCTGGAGGTGCCCCCAGGTAGGCCTCCCACCATGGCCATGCTGGAGAGGGGCTGCAGGTCTGGGGGTCCTGTCAGGTGATGTTGGGAAGAGAGGCATCATTTGTGTGTGTGTGTGTGTGCGTGTGTGTGCGTGTGTGTGTGCGCACACGTGTGCTGCTGTGTCCCTGTCATGAGCAGGCTGCTGCCATTCCTGCCGCTGCTGCTGCATGTCTGTGACGCGTGTGGGTGCCGTCTTGTGCAGGGAGGCCGACTGTCATGGGTGTGTCGCTGCCTGACACCTGCACATGCTGCTGCTCTGTGTGGGCATGAGCGCTGCCTGGTGTCTGTCTCTGACTCATGGACTTGGTCAGTCTGTGCAGCCACCAGCCTTCATCACGACTCAGCCGTCCCTGAAGCCTGCCCAGGTTTCTCTGGGTCTCCTCAGGAGAGCAGAGCTGTGTGTGGGAGTGGGGAGAGGTACTGCCAGTCTTACTGTCCAGGACACGGGCGGATGGGGCAGTGCCCAGAGCCTGTGTCGGAGGCCGTCAGGGATGGGGCAGTCGGCCCTTTGCCACGAGAGGCTCTTTCCTCTGGTGGGCTGCTCTTGGATCCCCATGGAGGGAGGGGGCCCTCTGTTTTTACTCTTTATGTTCCGTTCAGTTTAGGCTCCTTCTCTCCCGGCAGGGCCCTGGCTCTGACCCTGGGGGCCAAACAGAGGGGCCCTATCATGACCACAGGACCCCACCCTTCTTTCTTCCTGTGGCCCTAAGGCTACCCCCACCCCAGCCCCAGTACCCACCCGACCTGCGTCCTCCTGGCCACTGGCCCCTCTCCCCTCTGCCTGCCCCCACATCTCCTGGCGCCCCTCACCTGGCCTTGACCCCCTCTCCCTCCGCAGGCTCTTCAGCAGCCTCGGTGAGCTGAGCTCCATCTCAGCGCAGCGCAGCCCTGGGGGCCCGGGCGGCGGGGCCTCCTACCCGGTGCGGCCCGGCGGCCGCTACCCCGTGGCGCGGCGCGCCCCGAGCCCAGTGAAGCCCGCGTCGCTGGAGCGGGTGGAGGGGCTGGGGGCGGGCGCGGGGGGCGCGGGGCGGCCCTTCGGCCTCACGCCTCCCACCATCCTCAAGTCGTCCAGCCTCTCCATCCCGCACGAGCCGAAGGAGGTGCGCTTTGTGGTGCGCAGCGTGAGCGCACGCAGCCGCTCGCCCTCGCCGTCGCCGCTGCCCTCGCCAGCGCCTGGCCCCGGCCCCGGGGCCCCCGGCCCGCGCCGGCCCTTCCAACAAAAGCCGCTGCAGCTGTGGAGCAAGTTCGACGTGGGCGACTGGCTGGAGAGCATCCACTTGGGCGAGCACCGCGACCGCTTCGAGGACCACGAAATCGAGGGCGCGCACCTGCCGGCGCTCACCAAGGACGACTTCGTGGAGCTGGGCGTCACGCGCGTGGGCCACCGCATGAACATTGAGCGCGCGCTCAGGCAGCTGGACGGCAGCTGACGCCCCCTCCCCACGTCCCAGCCGCGCCCTGCCGGCAGGGCCCCCCCCACCCCCACCCCCGGGCCGCGGGCTCGGCCTGCCCCCCACAAAGGCGCCCGGGCCAGGAATGTTGCATGAATCGTCCTGTTTGCTGTTGCTCGGAGACTTGCCCTGTACATTGCTTAGTGCCCTCCCCGGCCGGCGAGTCCCACCCAGCACACGGTCAGGAAGGGCGAGGGCCAGGGAGGCTGGAGCGGGAGAGGGTTGGGGGTGGGGTGCTCCGGCCTGACCATCTCCCGCACAGCTCCTGGTGGCTACTCTCCCAGAGGGGGGGACCTAGTCCAGCATGCGAGGTCAGGACACACCTTGGTGACTCGGGGGGAGGGGGGAGACTTGGGGTTCTCGGTTGGGGGCCTAGGAGCCCCCCCCCTGTTTTGCATATTTTAATCCACTCTATATTTGGAACGAGAAAAGGAACAAATATCTCTGTCCTTAATAGCTTCCCTTCCCCTCCCTTACAGTGCCCCCCCCCCCCCCCGCCCCACCACCACTGGTTCCGCTGCTGCTGCCCAGTCTTCCATCTCTGGCCCCTCACTGCCACTGCCACCCCACATGGGGCGGGGGACGCTCCAGCTGGTCTGGGGTTGGCCAGGGTCCTAGTAGCCCGCCCTGGGGCCCCAGCTCGGCCCTCTCCCCTCGCTGAGCTATAGTGTGCCCCACCGACCCTTCAGGTGCTGTGTGGAGGAGGGGCGGCAGGCAGCGAGTCCTGCTGGGCACTAGCCAGGTCAGGTGGCCTGGGAGACCATTGCCCTGGGGAGGGGCAGGGCCCTGGCATCCGCCCCAGCCAAGTCCCTCACAGGGTCCCTTCCCAGGAGGGGTCTAGCCTCCTCCCCACACTGTTGGGCAACCACAGCAGAGAAGCCTCCCTGCCTCAGACCCCAAAGTCTCCTGTTCCTGCCCTGTGTGTGTGTGTGTGTGTGTGTGTGCGCGCGCACGCACGTGCGAGTGTGTGAAACTCTGGGTGCGGCTGAGTGCGTCGGAGCCCTGTGTGTGCCTGACTGGAGTGTGGTCCCAACGGGCAACTCTGGACTAGTGTGGGGGCTTCAGCAGTGTGCACAGGGTGCATATATGGGTGTGTCCCTGTGAAAGCACCCAATTTCCACTTCCAAAGAAAGTCAGAGGCACCCTAGGACCTGCTGTTTGCCCAGCCCGTCCTTCCAGAGCCTCGTCTAGCCTGAGCGGGCCTCCTTGGTGAGGATCTGCTGCTTGGACAGGCTCCCAAGAGCCCTTGGAGGCAGTGCCCCGCCCCCCACTGGGCTTCTGGGGGGGGGGGATCATAGAGGACCCCTAGAGTCAGGCCACCGCAAGCCCTGGGGAGAGGCAAAGACCCCAGAGGGCACCCCAGCCCCCCTTACTGTGACTCCTCACACTCAGCAATGACCTGTGGGGTGGGGGGCCCTGGGACGTTTTTAAACCTAGGGTTTGGAGTCTGGACTAAGCTCCATCCACGTCACTCACAAGTTTCTGTTTATATTTCTAGCTTTTTTTAATAAAAAAAAAAAAAAACAGAAAACTGAAGTTTCACAGCCCAGGGGCCTGGCACGCCGGTCTGTGCCCGCCTGCCCCGCCCTGGCCCACCGGCCCCATTCCCTGGGCAGAGTCACACCCAGTAACCCTCTCACCGACAGACCAGGTCACACACAGCAGCAGTCACTGTAACAGACTGCCACATACACCCTCAGTCTCACACTCACCTGTGGGTTTTTGGTTCCGTTCAATTTGGGTTTTTAACTTTACAGGGTCAGTCCCGCTTCACCCCTCCTTTTGTATGGAGTTCCATCCGGGGGATTTCACCCCTGCTCCAGTCCTGAGGCCTCCTGACCCTGACGTTGTGATACACCCCACAGAGATCTATGTTTCTTATATTATTATTATTGATAATAATTATTATAATATTATTATGTAATAAATTTATAAGAAATGAAGCCGTCTCTCAGTTACCTGTTTGAGGAGGTATTGGGAGCACAAACTGCTGTCCCCTGAATGGGACGAACCTCAGCCTTGACATGAGCATTCGGCCACATGCACTGGTGACTCTCAGCCCTGTCTCAGTCTCCTTGTTGACCCCACGTCCCCATGCCAGGCTTCTCTTCGCATCTCTTCCGGACTCCTGCTGGGCCTCAGCTCATGCTTCCTGTCTGGAAGCTTTTCTCTCTGCCCACCAGCTCACTGAGTGTAGCCCTCCTGAGGTAGGAGTCCAGTTGTCCTCTGTCCCCCTGCCCCACCTCCCCCACTGTGTCCATTTGTTTCTGAATTCTTTGAACCTTCTCATGTCTGTGCCTGCTGTCCTGCCCCCATGGCTACTGCCCTTGTCCGGGCTTTACAACCCCCCCCCCCCCCCCCCGCCACCCGAGCTGACAGTCATGTGAGCAGCTGGCTGCTACCAGCCAATGATGTGGCAAGGCTAGTGTGGCACCGGGTGGGGCGTGGCCCACCCACAGGAAGGGCAGAGGCACCTTAAGGGTGGAAGAGAGGGTGAACAGTGTGGATGGATGGATATCTTCCCACAGAGTGGGCACAGGAGGCCCAGTGGGAGTTGGGAGAGGGCTCCTCAGGCATCAGTCACCTGACAGGGTCTTGGCAGGGGCAGTGCCTGCAGATCCTGGCCCCACTGGGTCAAGGTGGAGTGCAGATCTGACAGAGTAATAAACGTGGACCTTGACTTGGGTTATCGATGGTCAGGGGTGGGACCAGTGGGAGATACCACCGGCAGGTGTGAAGATCCCAGAGGGAGTGAAGTGGCTGGAAGACGGACAGACTCCAGTGTCTTCACCCAGAGGAGGTGGGGGCAGGCAGAGGTGCTTTGAGGGAGCAAGTGCAGGTCTGGCTGGCCTGGGAGGGAGGGTGAGGCCCCGTGAGGCTTGGACCTTGAGAGGCTTGCAGGCTATATAGAAGGCCCCACAATTTCAAATTTTCAACTTTTTCAAAATTTTAGTTTTCATTTTCTTTATAAATTTTTTTTTCAATGTTTATTTATTTTTGGGACAGAGACAGAGCATGAACGGGGGAGGGGCAGAGAGAGGGAGACACAGAATCAGAAACAGGCTCCAGGCTCCGAGCCATCAGCCCAGACCCTGACGCGGGGCTCGAACTCACGGACCGCGAGATTGTGACCTGGCTGAAGTCGGACGCTTAACCGACTGCGCCACCCAGGCGCCCCTTGGCAGGCATTCCTAAGGTGTGTATATCAATCTCCAAGGTGCCCGGAACACGTAGCCCCAAGGGAGGTCACTGAGAAAACAGGAACAAGATGGAGGGCCAGAGATGGAGTCAGTATTGTCAGCAACCCTAACCCAGTAATAGGAGAGGGAAGATCTTCTGGCCTGCAAGAAGAGTAGACTTGGGGACACTCGTGTATAGAAAATGAGAGCTTCTTGACAATTGGGTAGTGAGATGAGATGTCCGGACAATCGTCTAGTGGAAACGAGACATCTGACAATTAGGGAGAAGAGATGGAAACACTGGACATGCAGGTAGGGAAGGCAAGGACTTGTTACACTCGAATAGGGAAGAGGAGACCCCTTGGTTGCTAAGAGAAAAGACCTGGAACCTCCAGACATAGCAGAAGAGGTGAGTGACAAGATCTCCTGACTCTCTGGTGGAGGAGAGGTCCGGATGCCCTGGAAGGAGACAGAAAACCTTCAGGTAGTCAGAGAGTTGAGACAAGAATATCAGATATTTACAGAGCAAAGGAGACCTTGTGATATTCAGGTAGAGAAGATGAAAGCTCATGACTTTTAGGGAGGGAGGGAGACTTCCTGGCAGCCAGGTGGAGGACATGAGAGTTCCTGGCAATTGAGCATGGCAGGCGAAACCTCAGGGCACTCACAGAGGTGAGATGTACTTCCTGAGCCTCAGATAGGGGATATAGGACCTCTTGGTTCTCAGGTAGAGAAGATGCAACAAAGTGACACTCAGGCGGTCCAGACGAGGCCTTTGGCCTTGAGATGGAAGAAGAGAGACATCCTCACATTCAGGAAGAAGAGATGATAGCTCCTGATACTCTGGTAGGATGTTCAAGACCTGCTGGACATTCAGTTGAGGGGGATGTGACCTCCTGAAAGTTACGTGAGATGAGAAGGTATGACATTCATATTTAGAGGAATAAAGATCATCTGGAAATCTGAAAACCCTTAATACTAAGGACACGAGGTGTCCCGACATTCGGGTAGGAGAGGTGCACCCTCCGGACATTCAGATTGACTAGTGGAGAACTTACACTCAGGTCAAGGATGGGAGACTGCCCTTCATGCAGGTAGAGATGTGATCTCTCACACTCTTACAGAGGAGGTGAAACGTGTTAACACGCAGGTATGTGAGGTGAGCCTTTGTCAACCTCTGGTAGGTGAGACACAGTCTCCTGACAATCAGAAGAAATGAAACTTCCTGATATTCAGTTAAGTGTAATGAGAGTTCTTTACACTTAAGTATAGGAGACACACCTTGTTGCACATAGGTCCCAGAGGGGAGGCCTGGAGACACTCAGGTAGGAAACACCAGAGCTTGTGATACTCAGGAAGGAATAGAAAGGTGGGCTTTGAAGTACTGAATTAAGGAAATTCAGAATGGCTCTCTGAAAAGTGTGCTGATAGCATGTACTTGGAAGAGGAAAGACAGTTTTCCCCACACAGTATTAAGGATCGATTAATCTGACCTGATTAACCTGACCCCTTGTAACCACTGACATGCGCCATCTTGACACAGAGGGACAGAGCTGCCCTTCAATCCATGTTTGGAACAGGAAATGTGCTTACAGCCTGCATGAGGGGCAGACCCTGAGCTTGCACAAAGCTAGAACCTCAGATGATATGGGACCTCAGAAGGGTAACTCGGAATGAAGATCCTGGCCTTGGGACAGAGGGAGGGGGCTGCACCCAGGAGTCAGGGGGAGCCCGAACAGGAAGCTGGGAACTCCTCTGAGCCTGAACCAGTTAAGCGAAAGGGCTCCTGCCTGGGCTGATGCCTGGGGGGGGGGGGGGCCGCGCGGTCGCACTGCTGATTGGTCAGGAGGCCACAGGGCTTTGTGAAGTCGCTAGGGTTCCAGGCCAGGCTGGGGCAGGAGTATGGTGGAGATGCTGCCAACTGCCATCCTGCTGGTCTTGGCTGTGTCTGTGGTTGCCAAAGATAACGCCACGTGTGAGTAAGTGTCAGGGACACCTTTGGGGTGTGTGTGGAGAGAGTGTCTTCTGAATAGTAAGCCCCACCCAGACTCTCCGTCCAGGGCGAGGGAGGAGGCCAAGCGCGGGCCTTAGTCGTTCCTGGGTCTCACAGGTGTGACTTACACCCCCCACTCAGACCGTCCTTGTTCCCAGCTTCATCAGCCCATGGGCCCCAGGGCTGACCCCTGGGTTCCTGTGGCTCCCACAGCACAGACACTGGGACCTCTTCCTCACCTGGAGACTGGCCTCACTGCCTCTGGAACATCAAGTCTTACTTTTTAGGAGGCCTTTTATTCCCACAGATACTGAGGTGTCCCCACCTGTGTATGACTCCTAAGGCCCCAGGATACCATCACGCCATGCCTCTGGGATCCCCCCTCCAACTTAGACTCCTACAGCCTCCAAGATACCCCCAAACTATTGTGGCCTCTCCCCAGCTCCCAGAATTCCTGTCCCTGGACCCCCGCGGCTCCCCATACCTGGGGCCACTGGACCTGCCCTGGCTACTCTGCCTCCTCTGCCACCACCCACCCCTGCCTTGCAGCCTCGACACCTCTAGCCTCCCCGTCTGCCTAGGGCTCTCCTACATTTCTAGGGCCCTTACCATCTGTCCTGCTTCCCGTGGCCCTTTCTTTCCCCCAAACCATTTCCTAGACGCTGTAGCTCCTGGCCTCGCCACCACCCTGACAGCGCTTCTCCTCAGCATCGTCCCCCCTGGACTCTACCTACTCTGGGCCACCCCACTTTCAGCGGACCCCTGGCCTTACCTCCCCCATTGTGCAGGTAGGACAGGCTGGACCTGTTCTCGGTTTGAACCATGCCCCTGGTCTCTCCTCAGTGGCCCCTGTGGGTTACGGTTCAGGCAGAACCCACAGGGGAGTGTCCGTATCGTCGGAGGAAAGGATGCGGCACTCGGGGCCTGGCCCTGGATGGTCAGCCTCCAGGTCTTCACTTCCCACAACAACCGAAGGTATCACGCGTGCGGAGGCACCCTGCTGAACTCCCACTGGCTGCTGACGGCTGCTCACTGCTTCGGGTCCAAAAAGTACGTGTGGGAACGCGTGGAGGGAGGTCTGAATTCAGGAAGGCTGTTCTGGGGCAGGGACTTTCCCCAGAGCTCTCTGTGCAGTCTCCTGGGCCTAGTGGCGACCAGACCTTTGACAGGGGAGGGCTCTGAGGGTCACCATCACCAGAGGTTTCTGTCGAGCCAGTCCCTACTGAGGATAACCTGGCTTGCCTCTGTGCCCACAGAAAAGTATATGACTGGAGACTGATTTTTGGAGCAAGGGAAATTGTGTATGGGAGCGATAAACCAGTGAAGCCGCCTCAACAGGAGAGATATGTCGAGAAAATCATCATTCATGAGAAATACGTCCCCAGTTTAGAGTACAATGACATTGCTCTCTTGAAGATCACCCCTCCAGTTCCATGTGGGCAGTTCATCGGACCCGGCTGCCTGCCCCAATTTAGGGCAGGCCCACCCAGAGTCTCCCAGGCCTGCTGGGTGGCTGGCTGGGGATTCTTAAGAGAGAATGGTGAGTATGGAGGGGGCTCTCAAGGGGGGACACTGCTGGTCATTCTCTTGGTGGTCTCTGAGGGGAAGGGGTAATATGTGCTGCCTGGTGGAGTGACACCCAGACCCCACCGGAGTCCTGTAAGTAGGTTCCGTTTTATAGCCGGAGAAACTGTTCAAAGCCTCACAACTTATGACTAGTGTGGTCGCCGAAGGGAAGGCTGAACGCAGGCACAGGAGAACCTTGGTGCTC